TCCTGTAGGGCCCAGTGGCTCAGCCTCCCCAGTCACCTGAGCTGGGCACTCCAGGTGCACCCTGTGTGCACAGCCTTGTAGTTGAGCGTCTTCTGATTGGGTGCCAGACCAGCCTGTTCTGCGCCTCCGCCCCTCCTACAGGTCTCAACCTACTTTCTTTATGTCTCTAGTTGTAGGACTTCCATTCACCCAGCTTTCAGGCGGTTCTGGATGATGCTTGTTCTGTATTTTAGTTGTAATTTTGATGTGGTTCTGGGAGGTGGTGAGAACAGGTGTTTACCTATGCTGCCATCTTCGTTCAACAAACTTTTAAAAGATACTCTTGGGCCCTAACCAGTTTGGTTCAGTGGATAGAGCGTCGGCCTGCAGACTGAAGGGTCCCAGGTTCGATTCCAGTCAAGGGCATGTACCTTGGTTGTGAGCATATCCCCAGTAGGGGGTGTGCAGGAGGCAGCAGATAGATGTTTCTCTCTCATCGATGTTTCTCTCTATTCCTCTCCCTTCCTCTCTGTAAAAAATCAATAAAATATATTTTAAAAAAATAAAATAAAAGATATTCTTGGACCAATTGGGTAATGGGAACACTGACTATATATTAGATGACATTAAGGGGTTATTGATTTTTAAAAAATAATTTTTTTATTAGTTTCAGAGAGGAAGGGAGAGGGGGGCAGAGATAGAAACATCCTTAAGAGAGAATCATTGATCGATTGCCTCTTGTGTGCCTCACACGAGGGATCAAGCCCGCAACCCGAGCATATGCCCTGACCGGGAATCAAACCGCAACCTCCTGGTTCATAGGTTGACCCTCAACCACTGAGCCTCACTGGCTGGACTAAGAGATTATTAATTTTAAAGTGTGATAATGACATGAACAGCGTGTTCATCTCCTAGAGACACAGACAGACCTATTTACAGATGAAATGATATGATGACTGGGATTTGCTTTAAAACAGTCCAGAAGGAAGAGAGATGTGGGGAGATAAAGAGAAACCAAATTGGCCATATTTGTTGAAGTGGGGTACACGGGCATTTTTTATGCTATTCTCTGTCTTCTTTTGGGTGAAAATGTCCATGATCAGCCTGGCCGGTGTGGCTCACTGGCTGAGTGCTGACCCATGCACCAGGAGGTCTTGGTTCGATTCCCGGTCAGGGAACATGCCCAGGTTGTGGGCTTGATCCCCAGTAGAGGGCATGCAAGAGACAGCCATAGATGTTTCTCTCTCTCCCTCTCCCTTCCTCTCTGAAATCAATAAAAACATATTAAAATAAAAAAACAGAAAAGATAAAACATAAGAAAAGAAAATGTCCATGATCAAAAAAAGAATAACAACAAAAAAAGCGCCCCTCCACTACAGCTGGTTTTTCCTCCCAGCATCCTCCCTGCGGGACACACCCGGAACCTTGTTTGCTGTGTCTCCCCTGGAGCGGGGGAGCCAGGGAGTGGGCTGTCTCTTGTTCACGGCTGTATGTTCATGGCTGTATCCCCAGCACCTGGAGCAGCACATGCATCTCACCCATCTCACAGCTGTGGGCCGAGATCTGCGTGGCCTCTCGAGCTCGAGCTCCGAGCCACAGTCTGCATATAGCTGTCTCCACCAGCTCTGACCTCGGAGGGCCAGGGGCGAGGCTCTCCGGGGCAAACGGAGACGTGGGTGCCATGGTAGGCAAGAGGACTCGCCCCACGTCAGGGAAAGGGAGTGAGGGGCAATGACAGGGTCGGGCTAGGAGAAGCACGCCCCCACCCCAATGCTCTGCCCCCTAGAGTGGCCCAAGCTCATGTGGACATCACTGTACCAGCCACTGCTTGTGTGGCTTCCAAACACCAAGCCCAGCCTGAGCCAGGGTCAGCAGGCAGGGCCCACCCAGGGGCCCAGGAGCCAACCTCTGGAGAAAAGGGGCAGGTGAGGAGCAGGGCTGCCTCCACGCTCAGAGCCCTCGGCTTGGTTCCCAGCCACCGTGAGCAGGACAGGTGAGATGCGCATGCTTCCGCATCTGCAGTGAGCCTCTCTAGCCGGCACCACCGGGCACAGGGCACGATCGCAGCAGTGCCAGGCCGTGGGGTCTCTGGAAACTGGGATGAGGAGGACACTGGGCACCACCATCAGCGTGCTGGAGGGGACGGGGTGCTGCCGCGGAGGGTTTCTCATTGTGAATGACCCTCCTTCTCCCACCTCAGCTCTCAGGGAAGATGGCAGTCTTCCTAAAGCCGAAACAGGCCTGCGGTGTAGAAGCAAGAGCTCTGGGGTCAGACCTAGGCTCGGCACATCAGACAAGTCACCCGGCTCATCGGGCAGTGCCTAAGTTTCCTCACCCACACAACGGGCACACCATGGGGAGACCCACAGTGGGGACCAGGCTGCTCCTGCTCACGGGATCATGCGTGTTTGTGGAATCTGAGCCCACGGGTGGCTGCCCCCTGCCCCCTTGCTGCTCCTGCTCCTCGGGCAATGTGGGGCCTGAGGCGCCTGGGGCTGGGACATGGTGTTGGGGAGCCCCAAAGGGCTCCTCGTCCTTCCCTGGAGGCTGGTGCATTCTGTGCGAGGGAAGGTGCTGTTCCCTCTGGGGAAGGGCCTGGGCTGAGGCAGCTGGTTCCAAGGTGGGCAGACCCACCGGGTGCAGTGGAAGCAGCCTCCCTGCCACCACAGCTGCAGGCAGCTGCCCCCTCCCTGCTTGTGCCGCCTTGGGGAGGTCAGCTGGGCATTCCCTTCCCAACAGACCCGGTGGGGGAGACACAGAGGGTCTGCCACCCCATCAGACACTCTCCTATCCCAGCCCCCCAGCCCCCCAGCACACCTCAGGGGTATGTGGGGCTTTGCAGTTTACAAAGGGCCCAGATGCCATCTCATTTGAGCTACCCAGTAGCCCAGTGATGGGCCAACCGGTGATGCAAAAGGGGTGCCCCAAGGGCCCAGCCGGGCCCCCTCCCTAACCATACCCTCACACACCAGCTTCTCTTCAAGGAGGGGTGCTGCTGCTTCCCTTGTCTCAGGCCGGCTTTGCCACAGGCTATCACTGGCATCCAAAAAGATCTTCCTGACCTAGGAGGGCAACGGGGAGGGGCCGCAGGTGGCCAGCTTCAGAGCAGAAGGGAGTATCGGGGACTAGGAGCGTGGGTGTCAGGAGCCAGGGGCAAAGGCACCCTCCTCCCCACCCCTTCAACCCAAGTCGTGGTTGGTTCTCATCACTCAGCCCTGGGAGGTATTTGTGAGGCTTTGGTGGTATTCCGGGATGGAGGCTCCAGTCCCGGTGGGGGATCCAGAGCCATCAGTCACCTATGTTCAGAAACTTCCCTCTGTATTCCGGGTGGAGTCATGCCCTTGGCCCCACGCTCTCTACCTCTTTCTCCCTGGAAGCCCAGAGGTGCCCAGTGGCAGCTCCCAGCCGCGCATGCTCATATGCCAGCTGGGAGGTGGGGCTGCCGTCACCGTGGCAGCCGCCCTATGCAGAGAACTGCACTCCAGGGACCAGCTTACGTTGAAAAAATGTCACATACAAACACAAGCCGAGGGCACTTGACAAACATTTACTGAGCACCTGCTATGCGCCAGGCCCTATGCAGGGCTCTAGGAAAACGAAGTCACTGCAAACTAGTCCCTGCCCGGAAGGAGCTCACAGTCTAGTGGGTCCAACCATGAATCAGGTTAATAGCGGTGAAGGTGCATTGAGCTTCACGATTTTACAACGAGCTTGTATATACGTTTTCTCAATTGTGAATGTCCAGCAAACAGCCACGCTGTTGAAAAGCACGTCGGCATGAATGTAAACAGTCCCATGATGGAAAGGATGGAGAGGGATCACCGGCAGTAATTCACATTCCTGTTTCAGAGCCCGGTTTTCAGCATCATTCATCCCTTCCTGCTGGGAGGACGCGAGTTTTGCCCACCTGCACAAGTGGCGGCAGACACGGAAATCCCATGGCCGCCTGACACCACAGCGGGTCCGGAATCTCTGCCCGCTGACGTCTCTCCACGACGCAGCACTAGTCTTCTAACCTCCCCTGGGCCAGGCCCCGTCCATCCTTGGGCTCCAAGTGAGCCAGGTGGGGAGAAAGGACCACGTCCCGTGAGTCCATCAGTGAGATTCCTCACATCTGGTCTGGATCAAGAGTGACACCAGCTCAGGTAACAGCGACCTCAGGCCCAGATCCTTCTAAACCAGACCCTCCCTGATTTAGGGATTGGCTTTCTGGATGGTCTCAAACCTGGCTGAGTCAGTGCCATACGGGAACCACTGCCCTGGGCCCTAGCTGCACCCTCTCCCTGAACACTCAGTATTTATCAGGAGCAGACGGGGGACTCCCCTCTTTATCCCACCTGCCCCTGGACTCCAAATGGGGCAGTGCTGTGCGGGGTCTGGGGGAAGCTCCCGGGCCCTTCTTCAGGGCACCATACCACCAACGGGAAAAACCAGTCCTCGCCGTCACTGGCCTGTGATGGTAGTTTCAGAGGGGAAGGAATCTGGTGAAGACCCAAGGTGGGCCACCTCCTGGTCTGGGGAACGGGAAACAGGACAAAGGCTCGGGTTCAATTAAACTGAAGTGTTCAGCTGAGCACAGAGCTGAAATGCTGAAGGCAGGGCTGCGTTTAGGACCCGCGTGCCCACCTTCCCATCGTGGGGCGGGGGAGGGCACTCATCTCTCCGGCTGCAGGCTGGCTTGGGGCTGGCCACCACCACTTCCCTTTAAAAAGGTCAGGTTAAGCCTCACCTCCTACGGTGAGGACCCCTGGGCCATGGCCTCTCGGACAGTAGCCTGGGAGTCAGCAAGCACATTTCCAGGGCGGGGGAGGGGAAAGGTTAGGGGCTTCTCTGACTGACGCCAAGGCAGCCCCAGGCCTCTGGACCAACAAAGCCCTGCCCTGGTCCTGTCCCTACCTCTGGGGTGGGGCCTTCCACTCCTGCCAGGACAACCTTTCAGCCCTCCTGCCCCTCAAGGTCACCACAGGAAGCCAGCTATCCTCCTAGCTAGCCCCTCCCCCCAATGATGGCCCAGACGGAACTCTCTTAATAAAAAAAAATAATTTATTGTCAACAAGGAGATTTATATACAACCGGAAAACAGGAGAAAAGAAGTGGGAGTGAATGAAGCCCCAGGGGGGCTGCTGGGCCTCCTGCAGGGGCGGAGGGGAAGAGGTAATGGAGGCCTCCTGGCTTAGGGGCCTGAACGGGGAGGAGGGGCGTCCTCCGAGGTAGTGGGACTCAGCTCAAACCCCGCGGTGGCCTCCTCCTTCTGGTGTAAGGCACTGCGCCAAAGGAGAATGGTGAGCGGCGAGAGGGTGGGCGGCGGCGGGGACAGAGGTCTGGGTCAGCAAAAGGATCGGGTGGGGTTCTCCACAGGCCCAGTGCCCTACCACTACCAGCCTCAGCCACGGCCCCCTCGACCAACAGTGGATGCTGCCCCTCCCCGCCTCCGCCCTGCCTTGGCGCTCTTCATCAGGTGGCGGAGCGGGAGCGGAAGCCGAAAGGGGACACGGCCTCCTCCACCCCGTCCTGTCCCCGGGAAAGCAGGAACCTATACACCACTCCCTGCCTCTCGCCGCCCCCAGTGGTGCTGATTCCAACAAAACCGCGGCGGTCTGGGGTGTCACCTGCTCCCACACCCTTGGTGCCCTGGGGATGCTTGGACCAGTCTTGCAGGAGGCTGACTGCCGGGGACGCCTCCATCCACCCGGATCACCTGGAGATCCAGCGTCCCGCGAAGGCCCGAAGGGGGACCTGGGCAGGAATGGGAGCAGAGAGCAGGGTCAGGGCCCTCCAGACACCCCACTCTGAGGATGTTCCTGAAGGTCTCCGCACACACACCCCGTTTCCAGAGCCCAGTGCCCGGTGTGAGGAAGCCCAATGAGCAAATTCTGCTTGTGCTCAGAAGCTGGTCTGTCTCTTGATAAACTAGAAGCTCCTTGAGGACAGGCCGAATCCCACTCATTCGCTCCTTTATCAACAATGACTTATTGGGTACCACGCTCTGCTCTGCCCCACCGTTCCAGTTGCTAGGGGAACGGCAGGCGTGGAGCAGAGCAAGTGGCTTTCTTGGAATTTACGTCCCAGTGATGACAGCCAATCAATGAGAATAAACAAGAGATGCAGTAGGATATATGCAGACAGGTGCAAAGGAAAACCCCCGCCAGGGAAGGGGATAGGGAGGGTCTCAGGATGCCGACCCATGAGCAAAGATGGACAGGAAGCGAGGGGTCAGCTCTGCAGAGAGCTGGAGGAGCAGCATCCGGGTGGGGGGAAGACAAGGCCCGTGCCTGCAGCGAGGGTGCAGGGACAGGAAAGATCCCGGGTGAGGATCACATCACCACGAGGACTCACGCTTTATCTGGAGAGTGAGGGACAGGGCAAGACGTGGTGTTTGACAGGGACACTGGCTGCTCTGAGGCCAGGCCACAGCGGGCAACGGTAAGCAGCCAGAGACTAGCTGGAAGGCTGTCCCAGGAACCAGGCAAGGGACAGCTGGGACAGGGGAGCTGCCGTGGAGGTGGTGACAGGAAGGTGAATTCTGAACACACCTGGAGGTGGAGCTAACAGATTTGTCAATGGTTTGATGCGGGTTTGAGAGACAAGAGGATGACTGAGGGTTTGACCCAAGCAAACTGAAGAATGAGGTGGCCAGTTTCCTCAAGAGAAAAGACTGAGGAAGACTAGATTGACTGGGGCGAGGGGAAGAGACTGGGTTCCGCTCCGATGTGCCAAGCTTGAGAGAACGTTTGGCCCAAGTAGAGATGTCACATGGGCAATTCGAAGAGAGGTGGGGACAGAGGGGAGAGGAGAGGTCTGGAGGGTCAAGGCAGGAGTTGTGAGCACAAGAGTGGTATTTAAAGCTGCGATTCTGGGCGGGGTCACCCAGGGAGTGAGTATACACCCTGACCCACGGTTGGGGCACTTACTCATTCTCTCACCAAATACCTAGTAAGCAGCACCTATTCTGTGCCGGGCACGGGGGTGCCACAGTACGTGAAACAGGCCAGCATCCTGACCTGAGGAGCTTAATTCCAGGAAGCGGATGAAAGTTTACAGACAAATGGGACAGTGGCTAGGGAGGGAGGCGGGGTAAGAAGGGAGAAATAGCTTTGTGTAGGCTGCTGGCCAAAACCCAGAAGAAAACTGATGGATAACAGAGAAATGTCCGCGGGGAGAGATGGCCTTGGCAATGGGTCTGCAGGGCTGGTCTCTGGAGGAGTGACAGTTACAGGGAGGGAGCAAAGGCAGAGGATGTGGCCTGGGGGGGGTGGGGTGGGGGGGAGCCTATACACCACCTGTGGTGGGCTCAGTGACATGCACAGAGGCTGCCGCTTCCCAGGCGAGGGGCCTTACCTCCCAAGGCTGGCGTCCTCTTCAGTAAAACGGGAGCCGGCGCCCTCTGGGCCCCCTTCGGCCTGGGCCCCCTCCCACCTTCATTCTACAAGGCCCTTGGAGAGCCCCAGTTCTTCCTGACTGCTTCACACTCGTATCCATCCGCTCAGCTGACCTGACCAGAGAACTTTTCCAACTTCTAAAACCTTGATCTGTAAACTTTTAAAAGTGGTAGTGTCTTTATTCAAATAAAATCTTCAGCAAACTTTAATACGTAAAACTCCAAGCAGAGACGGTCGGTTGAAGCCTCAGTTTCTGAGAAATCCAGCCAAGCTCTGAGGTCCTGGAAGAGCCTGCAGCGCTGGTGGAACCTTCACTCTGCACAGGACCAGCATGGGGCGGAGCCTTCGCTGCCTCCAACCTGTCCCTCCGACCACAGCTTCTGGGGGACAAAGGCTGCCTCCCGCATGTCCTTTTCCACGGGGCTTCGCTTGGTGCTGGGCGGCAGGACACTGGCTGTGGTGCTGTTTAGTGTCTTCTGTGGCTTCTGGCCTAGTCCCAACTCCACAGATCCTGCCACTGCGGGGAATACCTGCAGCCCCTGCACCCCTCACGTCACTCACTCAGTTTGCTGAGCCTCAAGTCTTCCCCACTCACCCAAAGGGACCAGGGCTCAGGGACTCCCTGCTCAGCGACTCCCTACTCCAGGGAGGTGGAGTTGGGCACAGGGAACCCAAGCCTCAAAATGAAGGCTGTTTTGAGAATGAAAGCAGACCCACTGAACAGAGGAAGAGGCAGCCATTGAGAGCCGTGACCCAAGACAACAGGAGACTCAGAAACGTTCAAGTCCAAGCAGTCTCGGGGAGACAGGACCGGAATGTGACTCAAGCTGAAACTTGAGCCAGTTAAAACCGGATCAACATGAAGGGACGCCCCACCGTGAGATGGGGAGGAAGCAGGCACACGCCTGCTGCACACGCAGAGCTCTGGGGAGGTCTGTGGACACAGAGCCAACTATTACGAATGGTCACCGCGGCGAGAGATGTGGCTGGAGAAGGGGCACGCGTGCTTCTCCTCTCAAGTGCCATCTTCCTCGGGCTCTAACTCCAAACGCACGTTCAGACAGGCTGGGACAGGCACTCCCTGCGCCACTCACTCACTCACTCACTCACTCCTTCAAGACCATTTCCTGAGCCCGAGACGCTGCGGGCCGTGCCTGGCCTGGCGAAACCAAGAGGAAGCAGACTCAGCCTCCGCCACTGCACTGTGCTCTGCTCTCACTGGAGCCCTGCCTCCGCTGGTGCCATGACTATGGTATAGGCCAGTGGTCGGCAAACCGCGGCTCGCGAGTCACATGCGGCTCTTTGGCCCCTTGAGTGTGGATCTTCCACAAAATACCACGTGCGGGCGCACTAGTACAGTGCGATTGAAACTTCGTGGCCCATGCGCAGAAGTCGGTATTTTGTGGGAGAGCCATACTCAAGGGGCCAAAGAGCTGCATGTGGCTCACAAGCCGCGATTTGCCGACCACTGGAATAGGCAGAACACCATGACTGTGGTATAGGCAGAACACAGGTCCCCAGGGCCTGTGAAGATAAGTTCCACGGCAGAGGAGAAGGCAGGCTGCAGACTTAGGCTCAACATGGCTGGAACTGATGGTGCCAGTCAGGTGATTTTAAACTAGAGATTCATCTGGACGACCTGGTGGACTCGGTGTAGTCACAAGGGTCCTTAAGTGGGGAAGGAGGTGGCAGAAGAGTCAGGCCAAAGATGGCGTTCCGAGAAAGGGTCTGCTGGCCACCAAGGGCCAGGAAGATGGAAGAGGAGGCGAAGCAGGGAATGCGGGCGGCCTCTAGAACCCTGAAAAGGCAAGATGCAGGCTCCCCGAGCCTCCAGAAGGAACGCGGTCCTGCCGACACTGGGATTTTTTGGCCCAGTGAGACCTCCGACCTCCGGAACAGAAAAGTAACACCTTGTGCTGCTGTACGCCACTGATTTGTGGGAACTTGTTACAGCAGCCACAGGAAACTAACACAGGCATCGCGGGGAAGGAGGAACCATCGCTGAGAATCTCCTCTGGAAAAGGCACTTTCGTAGGGACCAAGTGAACTGCATATAGAAGTTTCTCAAGATCAGTAGGATGTGCTACAAAAACACGCGCTCACGGCTGTCATTCGGCAGCTCGCCGAGCTGCTCTCCCCAGAGGAATCTGCTCAGCGCTCACCACTGGTCTAGTCTCCTGTTAACAGGCCCGGGGGCACCTCTCAGGCTCCAGCTGCAGTCAACTCTGGGAGTCACCCTGGGGGAGGACTGGCCTAGTCCCACCTAACGACCCATTCCAGGACACACCAAGGCCTGTGAGGAAAGCTCGGCCCAGAGCCAGCCCCGTCCTTCAATCTGCCTGCCCCAGCCCCCACCTCCCAGGGACCCAAGCGCCAAACATCAAGGAGCAGCCTCCAGGAGGCAGAGCCCACGCAGCCTGCCCGCCCCTGCTCTCCCTCGGGAGCTCACCTGGAGAGGGGCTCTCCAATGGGGGGAGGCCTCCTTCAGCCGCGCGCCCCTCCCTGGGTGCGCCCTTGCCGTCCAAGGCCCTTAGGTGGGGGTGGGAAAAGAGCTGCAGGACGAAGCCGGGAGGGAAGCTGCCATCCGTGAAGTGTCGGACCTCGGGGGGCGCTGTGAAGGCCTCCATGGGCGAGTCGGGCGACAAGGGGTCTGCAAGGGAGGAGGGTGGGACTGTGAGTCCAGGAGGGGGCAGCCTTCCCCCACTGAGGCCAGAACCTGGAGGCCTGAGCACCAGAGGCGACATGCAGGTGCCCTTGGCCTGGGCCCTGCCACCATCACTGGCTCGGTCTGGAGTGCCGCAGCCAGAGCCCCCATGTGCCTCCACCTGGCTCCCGCTTTACCTGAGTCAGAGTCCGGGTCCGGGTCCGGGTCCGGGTCCGGGTTTTTGGTCATGGATCTGCCTTTCTTCTTTCTGACCGGCTCTTCCTCCGGGGGCTCCTTCCATCTCTGACTACGAGGCTTCTTATTTCCTGGCTCTATGGCAGGGGCAACTGCAAAAAAGGGAATATGCCTGAACCCCGCAACCTCAACCTGAACCCCGCGGCTGAAGCTCTCTGCCCGTAGCCGCTCTACCCCCAGAACCCAGGCCTGTGCCTCCCTTTCCCCCAGCTCAGCCTCACTGGCTCCCCGTGACTGACCTGGAAGCTCAAGGGGGCGGAGTCCCCTGGGCCGGGTCCTTCTCGGGAGGACTGTGTTGTCCTCAGAGTCCAGAAGAACGACAATCTCTGCTGGCATTCTGGCAGGGTCTGGGGCAGAGTCAGGATCTGCACTGACGTCCTGGGCCGAGTCTGAAGGGGGCAAATGCCCCGTGAGCGCCACACGCGTCCCCACAGGTCTGCTTTGCTCCCACCCCCACCCCAGGCCCAACTACCTGAGCTGGGTGGGGATGGCTGCTCAGCTCTGACATCTTGCAACAGGGCCACCCCCTCGCTCCAGGCCTCCAGGATGTTGCTCTTCTCAGAAGGGCTCAGGTCCAGGGTGTGAGGGTGCTGCTCCAGGATGTGCGCGCGCGCCGTGTCCGCCGAGGGGAACTGGATCTCGGCCCCACACACCATGCACAGCGCCCGCCCGCTGCCTTCCGGGCTGTTCCCCACCAGGAACTCCTGCTCCCAAGTCATCTGCAGCTTGGGCTCCTCACAGCTATGGCCGCCTGCCTCCAGGAGGCTGGGCCTGGGCGGCTGGGTCTTCTCCTGCTGAGCCACTACGGAAGGAGAGGAGGGGGCGGTGTTAGCAGCAAAGGTGCCCACGGCCACTACTAGGCAATACTGCACTGGTGGCAAGAGTTAGAACACTGGTCCCCAAACTTGGTGGTGTACGGGAGGCGCATCCCCGCTGGTGTGGCTTTAGGTTGAGCAGTGACCTATGGACCAGGACGTCACAGTTCAATTACTGGTCCGGGCACATAACCAGGTTGTGGTCTCAATCCCTAGTGGGGGGCGCATAGGAGGCAGCTGATCAATGATTCTCTCTCATCATTGATGTTTCTATCTCTCTCTCCCTCTTCCTTCGTCTGTGAAATCAATAAAAAAAATTTTAAACAAAATAAATCCTTCAGCATTCATCCTAAAAAAGAAGAAAGAAAAAAAAAGAATAAATGGAGCTGGAGCTGTCATCCCAGAGGAGCTACCTTGCTGTCTTATGCCTCAAACCTTTGGGATGTTAAAAGGGCAAATGCCTTTGGACTGGGCCTAAAGCACTGTTTGCAAAGATAACAAGAAAGCAGATACGATGACTACCAGACTGATGACCACTGAACTGAAAATTAAAAACATTCTTTAGAATTAGCCTCACTATTTAGGTTATCTGCACCACCAGAAATGCCTTCGGTATACTGACGTAACCCCTTCCCTTGCTCATAAATATCCCTTGCCTTTGTCTCCTATTGGAACACTACAGGGATGGGCAAAAGTTAGGTAATAATTAATAATAATAATAATAACAATACAAGAATGAACTGTTTGTTTTAAACAAACAAATTAAGTCTTCAGTCTTGGCACATCCACCCAGAATCCCCAGTCAGTCTGGCAAATCCCTACACTCCCTTCATGGACCTGCTCAAATGCTCATGCCTGGAAGCTTCCCTGGCAGTTTATCACATCCATGTCTGACATCATGTCACACTTCCCTGAGGTCAAAGATGGTAAATTTCACCATCTTATTGTCCCCACAGGGCCGGGCACCTAGGAGAGGAGATGCTCATATGAGCCTCCGGTCAGTGAATGAGCTCCGTGCCTGCTTCTCCACCTGCTGAGGCCCCTCAGAAGGCCACCCATCCCATCGAAGCCAGCCTCTCAGTGCCCCTGAGCCTCTGCAGCTGTAACCTCTCCCCATGGGGCTGCCTGGCGCCTGCCCTTTGTGCACAAGGACCATTCGCTGCCAGGGCAGGCGCTCTTGGAAGCTCGGCAAAGGCAAGCAGCTCAGGGCTGTGCGGAGTGCCTAAGACCCCTCATGGGTACAGCTCGTGCCCATCCGAGGACGGGACGAAATGCAAATATGGGGGGGCCCCAGCACCTGGGACTGTACGGAAGAGGTGGCATTTGGAATGGATAGGGGAATGGGTAGGACTCAGAAGATCCAGGTCCAAAGTGGGGTTGCATCTAACTCCCATGTGACCATGGGTAGCAACCTGGACCCCAGCTGGAATCAGGCTTTCTTTCCTCCTCCTCGGCCACACAGCTCTCACCAAGGTCACCAGTGCTACACCCAGCAGTCGGCTCTTAACCCTTGTCTTCTGACTGATCACTCAGCTTCCAGGCACCGCCTTCCTGTGGTTCTTCTACTTCACCGGGGCTCTTCTCCAGCCCCCTATGCCAGTTCCTCATTTCATCTCCCTCCCTCATCCTCTCTTTTCAGGAACCTGCATGGCTCCCTCACCTCCTCCAGGTCGTGGCTAAAGAACCACATTCCCACCATGGCCTTCTCTGCCACTGCAGACAGCTGCCATCCATGCCACCTGCGCATTCCATTCCCGTCACCGTTTCGTTTCCTCCACAGCACACATCACCACCTGGCACAGTGTGTGCTCTGTAATGCTCCTACGTACACTGTGGGCCCCCTGACGGCATGGACTTTTGATCCTTCCCGCCTGTATCAACAGCATCAATAGTGCCCGGCAGAGAGTGGCGCTCAGAAATGTCTGAGGATGACTCCATCTCCGACCTGGAATCGCTGGAGCATGCATGACTTCTCAGACAAGTACGCTTCTGTCTACCCTCTTCTTCTCACGTCTGGTCCCGCTGCCTGCCTGCTGACAATTCCCGTGTTTATACTTATACCTCCAGCCAGACTCTCCCATGAAATCGAGTGTCTAACTTCCTACCTGACCTCGCCACTGGCATGGCACAGGCACCTCCACCTCGCCATGTTCCAACCCCAACTCCCCACTCCCAAGCCTGCAGAGCAGGCTTCCCACCTCAGGAAGTGGGGAGCCCATCCTCGGTGCTCAGGCCCCAAACCTTGAATTCCTCCTCTTTCTCTCCCACCGGGAGACTTCAGGACCCGTGTACTGGCAAGTCCCTCTGCCTAAACGGCTTTCCTCCCCTTCTCTACCCGGTTCACTCCCACCCTTCCGTTGGGTCTGTGCTCAAATTGCACCTCCTTAGAGAAACGACCACTCCATTCTCCAAATGAACAGGGACCCCACTCTTTTTCCTCCTTCCTCTGCTCTCGTGTTCTCGGACCACGGATCGCCACCTGACATACTACTTGCTGATTTATGTTTGCCTGCCTTTGGTCCTTAGTGCGTGTGTACGTTCCAGAGGGGCAGTTTCCTCCTTGTTTATGGCCATTGGCACGTCCAGCCTAAAAGAGTGCCTGGCACATAGCAGGTGTCCGTCCCATAATCAGCTTCTCCGGGCTTCTAGTTCCTCAGCCCTAACAGCCTGGCTCGGAGCGCTCCATCCACACCAGTGCAAGTTGGGAAGTCACCTCTCTGTCGGGCTGAGAGCTCTGGGGATGGGGCCTTTATCCCCCACTCGTTTCCAAACCCTCCCGATTCCAAACGGGAGAGGCAGCCATTCCGTCCCGGAGGTAAAGCGAATGGCTACACACATACACCCCCCGCCCCCGCCCCACCCGCGGGTACTTCCCCCCAAAACGAGGTGTCCGGAGCGAAGGCTATTTGCATTTCCATGCCTAGTGCTGCTCCCATTAAGGTGGCCCTTTGTTTCCCCGTCCTGAGGCCGGAAGACTTTGGGGAAAGGGAGGAAAGTTCCCAGACCGGAGCCCCCTCCCGCGGCCACTCCCCTCCTAGGGGGGCCGAGGGTCCCCCCCTCTCCAGGCAAGGACTTCTGTGCAACCGGGTGCAGCAAGCACCCCACTCACCCCTGAAGCTGTGGAACCGGACACCTGTGGCTCGCGCCAGCGGAGGGCCCAGGTGTGGAGGTGGGGGCCGGGGAGCCTCAGGGCCCTCGCGAGCCTCGGGGCCGGAGGCAGCGGCGCCGGCCTCCATCCTCCGCGCCGCTCGGGACCACCAGCGGCCGCGCCCAGGCCGGGCCCTCGGCCCACCGCACAGCCCGGCCCTGGGCCCGTCTCCGCTCGGCGGGGCGGGAGACCACGGCCGCGGACCGCAGGCGCCTCCGGGGACCCCGCCGCCGGCCGGCTGGGGAGAGGGGGCGCTCGGGCACCGGAAGATCCGGAGCGCGGCGGGGGGGCCGGGATCGAAGGCTCCAGACCCCGGGCGGGGGAGGGGATGCGGGAGGCCGGGGATTCCGAGCCCGGGAGGGGGAGGGGCCGGCCGGACCCCAGCGCAGGGGCGCGCGGGGCCCGCCGGGCGGGGGCAGGTCCGCCCGCACCGCGACGCGGAAGTGGCGTCCCCGCCATCCTCACCTCTGAGCATCGGCTCGGGCCGCGGGATCACGGCCACCACCACGGCCTCGTCCTCGTCCTCCGCTTCCTCGCATTTGAGCGTCACCTCGAAGCAGTCGAGCGCGGCGCCTTCGGCCTTCAGGGCCATGGTGCGGCCGGGGCCGCCGCGACCGGGCTCCGCAGGCCGCCGCCGCCCCCTCCCCGCCGCCCGCCGGCCTGCGACGGCCGCGTCCGGGCCTCCCCGAGACCAGGATCGCCGGGACCCCGGGCGGGGAGGGCTCAATCCGGGGCCCCAGCCCCCCGCCGCTCCCTTTTATGGAGCCTCATTGTCGGCGCCCTGCGGGCCGCCCGGCGCGGGCCCGCCCCCCAGCGCGGCGCGGCCAATCACAGGCGGCGCCGCCCCGCGCACGCGGCCCCGTTAGAATCCCAGGACCCGCTGGGCGGCGGGCAGGGCTCGCGGGCGCCCGCAGCCCGGGGCCGAGGCGGGGGTCGCGGCCGGGAACGGGGACCTGTGGCTGCCCGGGAGGGTCGTCCGGAGCCGCGCGGCCCGGTCCACAGGCCGCTGTCGGTTGAGACGCTCCCGGACGCATCGCGCGGGCCCGAGGAGATGGGCCTCCGTGGGGAGCTGCCCGCGGCGGGAGGGGGCCGGCGCGGAGAGGAGGGCGCCGGGCGTGGGAAGGGCGCGGGCGGGATGACTTCCGCCCTGCGGCTCTCGGGGGCCTGGGGCACGTTGTCTGTGTCCCTAGATGCTTGTTTACTACTTTCTGCGACAAAACGTGGTGGAACCTTCCGGACAAGGCCATGCGAAGAGGAAGAGCCGAGTGGAGTGTGGGCGGCTGCAAACCACCTCTCATGTTTATGGTTTCCAGTTTTTATTTATGATCATTTTTAAAATGTTTGTAATTTATTTGAGCCAGAGGCTACACCTGGAAGCAAGATCTCAAGAGACGGAGAGACATGCTCCCTATGTTTGGTTTCCACTTTTTCAACGTGAGTGGAGGGCCTGTGACCCTCCCCACGGTCCGGAAATCCTTAAGAGCCCAGTTGCCATGGCGGCCATGGCGTTGCGGCATGACCACCCCATGGCCGAGCCTTTCCCTCTGTGACATAGATGGGCACCTCCCTGTGCTGCAGAACCCTCCCTGAGATTTGGGTGGAGAAGATGTCCGATCCTGAAAAGCCATTTTAAAATGCCCCTGTGACAGACGGAGCACGGTAGTGATGCAGGATAATGACTGTCTTTCCTGCATATGGCAGTGGTCCCATCTATGCACATAAAACCCTAAGCACCTGGTCCACCATTTGACCGGTGGACCATTTGACTGGTCGCTATGACACGCTCTGACCACCAGGGGGCAGATGCTCGATGCAGGTGGTCAGTGGGTTCGGATTGAGCAGGAGCAGTGGCGCCCAGCCCCGGCTCAGGCTCCTCCCCTACTACGTCCCTCGGGGGATATCAGACTGCTGGTTTTGGCCTGATACCCTGGCGGACACCAGCAGTCCAGCATCCCCTGCGAGATCCTGGATTGCCAGAGGGCACAGGCCAGGCTGAGGGAGCCCACCGATGCATGAATCCGTGCACCAGGCCTGTAGTAAGATAAAGGGGCTGAAGAAATGCTGTGGCCTACTGACCTCATAGAGGGGGTGCTTTCTGAAGAGAGGGCCCCGTCCTCAAGAGGAGCCTCAGGCAGGCCCTCCAGGAGGTTTTCCAGAAGAAAGCATTGCCTGTGTCTGCCCTTGAAGAACTTCCAGTGGAGAAACAAGTGCAAATGGAAGACAGTGCAGTGTAGGTCTAGGCCAGTGGTCAGCAAACTGCGGCTCGGCAAATGGCAGCTCGCGAGCCACATGCGGCTCTTTGGCCCCTTGAGTGTGGCTCTTCCACAAAATACCAGCTCTTCCACAAAATACCAACTTCTGCGCATGGGCCACGAAGTTTCAATCGCACTGTACACGCGCGTCCGCACGTGGTATTTTGTGGAAGAGCCACACTCAAGGGGCCAAAGAGCCGCATGTGGCTCGCAAGCCACGGTTTGCCGACCACGGGTCTAGGCTAATGTGTGTGTGTGTGTGCGTCCTAGTTTTGCTTCTTCATTGATTCTAGGGAGAGGAAGGGAGAGGGAGAAACATCACCCATCAACATCAATTGGCTGCCTCCCGTACCTACCCCGACCAGGGGTCACGCGCCCTGACCGGAAATTCAAACCTGCCACCTTTCAGTGTAGGGGATGATGCCCCGACCCACTGAGTCACACTGGCCAGGGATTAAAAAAATATTTTTTGTTTATAAGGTAAAAAAGTAAGCTCAGTTTAATTTATTACTAAAGAAAGAAAAATATTTAAAAGTTGAGTGGAGCCTAAGGGTACAGTGTGTAGAAAGTCTACAGTAGTGGACAGTAAGGCCCTTGGCCGTCGCATCCACTCACCCTCACTCACTGACTCACTCCACTCACAGTAAGGGCGCCTGTACAGGTGCATCGTTTTTTATTTTTTATTTTTTTTTTATTTTTATTTTTTTAATATATTTTTTATTGATTTTTTACAGAGAGGAAGGGAGAGAGATAGAGAGTTAGAAACATCGATGAGAGAGAAACATCGATCAGCTGCCTCCTGCACATCTCCCACTGGGGATATGCCCGCAACCCAGGTACATGCCCTTGACCGGAATCGAACCTGGGACCTTTCAGTCCGCAGGCCGACGCTCTATCCACTGAGCCAAACCGGTTTCGGCCGTTTTTTATTTTTTATACCAGCGGTGGCCACCCGGTGGTCTGCGGACCCCTGGTGGTCCGTGAGGTCCGAAAGGTTGGTGACCGCTGTTTTATGCAGTATTTTTACTGTACCTTTGTTTATGTTTAGATACAAATTCTTACCATTGTATTCCAGTTGCCTACAGGATTTTGGACAGTGACATGCTATATAGGTTTGTAGTCTAGGAGCAGTCGTCTCGTCCATAGAGCCTAGACCAGCCGTGGGCAAACTACGGCCCGCGGGCCGGAGCCGGCCCGTTTGAAATGAATAAAACTATTGAAAAAAAAGACCGTACCCTTTTATGTAATGATGTTTACTTTGAATTTATATTAGTTCACACAAACACTCCATCCATGCTTTTGTTCCGGCCCTCCGGTCCAGTTTAAGAACCCATTGTGGCCCTCGAGTCAAAAAGTTTGCCCACCCCTGGACTAGACCATCTGGGTTTGTGCATGTGCATTCTATGATGGTCACATAACGATGAAAAACGTGTCCCTGTGGTTAAGCAACACGTGACTAGAGTAGGTTGGGAATGGGAGAGAAGATGTTAACTAGTCTATAGGTATTACAGTATGTTTTGTTTTTTAAATATATTCTAAAAAATAAAAATAAATATATTCTATTGATCTTTTACAGAGAGGAAGGGAGAGGGATAGAGAGTCAGAAACATCGATGAGAGAGAAACATCGATCAGCTGCCTCCTGCACACCCACTACTGGGGATGTGCCCGCAACCAACGTACATGCCCTTGACTGGAATCGAACCTGGGACCCTTCAGTCCGCAGGCCGACACTCTATCCACTGAGCCAAATCAGTCAGGGCTACAGTATGTTTTTAAGTGAATAATTTTGTTACTTTCAAGAGTTTAAGTAATTTCTACTTACTGGTCATCCTCTACGCCTTGTGACTGATCCCTTCCCAGCTCTTCTGCTCTGTTCTGTATCGCCCTGCAAGGCGCAGTTTCTCTGGGACAGCTGACTTCACACCTGGGTTTGGCCAATGGGAGACAGTGACAGGAGGCAGGAACATAGGGGAAGGAAACATCCGGGGTATTTCTTCTCTTCCTCTCTCTTGCTGGGGCTGCAGCAGGTCCCCTGGGCTGGATCCCCAGCTGGGATGAAGCATTTCCTTTTGGTACAGCTCTTACTATTGGTGGCATCTCGGCCTCGGTGGTGAGACAGGACAGGGAGTGGGCTGCTGCAGGAAACAAGTCTACTGATAGACAAAGCTCCAAACGGGGAGAGGGCTATTTGGAGGCTACTAGTAAGTATGAGGGTGTGTGTGGCTTCACTCCCAACCTGCTTGGCGTTTTGTAGCAGTCTCCAAAAGCTGTAATAAACATATGTCTGTGCTCTGTAGCTCAGTAATCCTATTACCAAGTTACCCTAAAATCATCCAAAAGAAGAAAAATGACCTGACAAAGATGCTGCGGTATGTTCACTGCCCGAACTTATTCGAGTCCCCCTCCTAGGGGACATTTTGTTCATTTGCATGGAGCCAGGGGCCCTCTTCTCTTGAGTTAGCTGGAACACCTCGGCCATGAAACTCGGCCAGCACACTGTCATTATTTGCTTGCATATCCCGGTCCCTCGTAGTCTGTCGGCTCTGACAGGGCAGCTCCATTTTTGCCCATGTTTCTAGCTCCAGCACTGGCCCAGAAGCTGTGGGGTCAGCAGCAGCGCAGGGCCTCCACTTCAGGGCTCTTGCTCAAACAAAATGGGGGATTTATTGGCTCGTGGACTTCGAGGAAGGGCTGACTGCCAGTGGAGGGAAGGGCAGGGATCCAGGCAGGCTTTAGGAATGACTGGCCCGGGTGCTAATGCCACCAGGGCAGTTCTTTCCATCCTGGCCCCTGCCTTTTCCTATGCACAGCCTTGTTCTCTCCCTGTGGATGGGCTTTCCCCTACAGCAGGAGATGTGACCACTGTTTCCCATAGACTAGCACAGTGGTTCTCAACCTCTGGCCCTTTAAATACAGTTCCTCATGTTGTGACCCAACCATAAAATTATTTTCGTTGCTACTTCATAACTGTACTGTTGCTACTGTTATGAATCGTCATGTAAATATCTGATATGCAGGATGGTCTTAGGCGACCCCTGTGAAAGGGTCGTTCAACCGCCAAAGGGGTCGCGACCCACAGGTTGAGAACTGCTGGACTAGCATCTCACTCTGTAAATTTCAAACCTTGCTTCTCCTCCACTGCCCACATTGGCCTCTGGTGTGGGCACTGTAGGACGCATTCACATCATCAAATGACTGCGGGCCTGCACTTTGGTGCCACAAAATGAGCTGAATCAACTTAGTGGGCACTAGAATTTCCTGAAGCCATTCCTTCTCCGGCCAGCTATCAATAATTGTATAAGGAAGTGACTACGGACTATATAAGCCTATACCACTAAACTACTACAACTACTGAACTACCACGTGACATGAGGGGAAGAATGGTGGAAAAGAAGGCAGAAAAAACTCAGGCAGTCGAGTGCAATAAGAATTTTTGGAATTATTATAATAGTAAAATACTAGAAGTAACACAAACCTCCCAACAACAGGAATTGCCTAATTAAATGACGTATTAGCACCACAAGGAATAGCTATCTGGATTGTAACA